ATCATTTATAATTCATTCGTCGCACTGAAAATGACGGTCATATTGAGCGGATTGCTTTATGGGATACTGTTTTTTAAGATTCCGCACATATTGGCAGTTGTCTTTTTTTGTGAGCAATTACACTAATTCACAAGCTCAAGTTAATCTTGCCCTTTATGTGTTGCATGAAGCCGCACGTCTTTATGAACTAAACAATCACATCTTCTGTTCTGCCTCTGTAACTCATTATCCAGCTGCATTAGACATCTATCTCAACGTTTTCTTTCTTTAATCTGTTCCTGTTGGGCAAACAAAGGCAGTTTTGACAAAATCTGGCTGCGTTTTAACAATGATAAAGCTTTTTTCTCCTTTAAGCTCTGTCTGATACTCTGATAGACATGTAATTTTACAGCCATTTACAGAAGTCTGCAGATTACTTATTATAAACGTTAAACGTACAGTGACGACATCTGCATGATCACCTCTATGAAGCGCAGGCCAATCAAAGGTCATCTCTTCCAGGCAGCCAATCAGAAGGGTTTGCTTCACATCAAAGGGCCTTCAGGACATGACTGGGCCAATCGCACGTCTGAACTGCAGCCAAACGCTGACAGATGCTCTGGATGTTTATCACAGAGAGAGCAGGTGTTGCTGAAGACACACATCTGCGCTGATGGAGAAATCAACCTACAAAATGACATTTACCCAGCATACCTGCAGAAGAATGTAGGGAAAACAGGCTGGTAATCTCACATGCGTCTCATCATGGGTTTCAGAAGAGATCTCAACAATGTCTGTGTGATGGAAGCCTGTTTCTGCCAGGGGATAAAAAAAAAGATTAAAGGTATTTCACAATTCTGACTCTTTCTTGCAATTCTGAGTTTATGTCTCACAATCAGAGAAAAGATCTGTGGCAGAAACAAAAAGTCCGAATTGTGAAAAAAGTCAAATTTCTGAGGAAATGCAAGAAAAACTCAGAATTGCAAGATATAAACTCAGAATTGTGCTGAAAAAAAGGCAGAAAAAGTCACAATTAACTTTCATTTCTTTTAATTCGGTGGAAGAAACAAAAATATCTCACAATTCTGCCTTTTGTCCTCAAAAATGCAAGAAAATGCAAGATATAAACTTGCAGCTTTGAGAAGAAAAAAGTCAAAATTGTGATTTTAATTTTTTTATTCCATGGTCGGAAACAAACAAAAAAAAAAGTCAGAATTCTGAGGCTATATCTTTCTTTATATATCTTTTTATATAATTTCCTCAGAAATGCGAGAAAAAAATGAGAATTTTAAGATATAAAGTCAATCAGAATTGTGCAATGTAAACTTGAAATTTTGAGAGAAAAAAAAAAAAATCAGAATTGTGAGATAAATAGTTGCAATTACCTTTTTTATTTTTTCCCCGTGCCGGGAAAAGTCAGAATCATGGAATGTAAACTCAGAATTCTGGGGAGAAAAGCCAGAGTTGTAAACAGACATGTAAACAGAATTTTGAGAAAAATAAAAGTCAGAATTGCATAATATATAAAAAGTTGCAATTACCTTTTTTTTTTATGCTGTGGCGGAAACAAAAAGTCAGAATTGAGATACAAAGTCACCAAGATATCAAAGTCGGCAATCAAAACATGAATTAAACATTTCTCATTAAATGATTTGAGCTGCTGTGTACATTCATTTAATAGCTATACTCTACTCTTCCGAGACATGAAATTAGAAATCATAAAAATGCAAAATGGAAGGATTTTTAAAAATGTCTGGAAAGACGTTTTTTTCCATGGACTAACCTGATATATCAGACTGATGTTCATTCATCGGCGGTCACATGACATGACAGATCGGCAGCTCATGTTCCAGTGACAAATTTACAGTAACGTTCGGAACAGAAATGTGAATCCATTGAGGGCAAGCGTGACTCATTGTAGCCGACGCTGACCTTCGATTCACATTACCATCTGCAAAAATTAGCTGCTAAATATATCCAGACATTTGAAGAAGAACAGTCGAGTCATCAGGGCTGCATGAAACATAACCTTTAATGTGATCATATACTTCTCAACATCAGTACAAAGAATATCTGCTTTAGTCGTACGCTCATTTTAGCACAACCAAACCTTTACAAAAACCGCAGCAGAGACAGAAGAGAAAAACAGAGGAATGTTTTATCAAACAGCTCACAAGTTTCCTTCTTGCTGACCGCGGATCAGTCACTGTATGACAGGAATCTGATCTCAAATCAGGCTTCTGGAAACCAGATCAAACACTCTAAAGGTACGGTCACACTAGATTCACATCAATACACATTTAAAAGCATGCATACTGAAATCTACATTGGAATAGTTAATATTAATCTTCTGAATATATTATTATTATTATTCGTAATGCATTTAAATTAGAAGTCTGTATGCATGACATTTTATCCTGTTGCCTATATATATTTAGCAAAAAAGTATGCAAAAAAAAACAAAAAAAACTTTTGCATATTTAAAATCTAGTGTGACCGTCCCCACTGAGAGGAAACGGAGGCTACAGCAACCGAACGAACCTCCAGTCGACCCAAAGGATTTCACTTGTTTCTATTTTCTATTTGCGGTGTAACAAATCCTTTGTTTAGATTTAAAATAAGATTTTAGTAGCATTGTCAGGCGAGAAGCAAACAGCTAATGTAAGGATTCAGTCTTACATTCACAAGACCTGCACATTTACAACCGAGCCATAAACGTGAGCAGCTGCCAAATGGAGAAAAACAATTTCACTGTAATTAAAATAATCTCTATCTACACGCATAAATACGTCCCACTGTAGGAGACACTGAGAAACACTTTATTTTTGACCGTAAAGCTTTTGACCATGCAATGCTCAAATTTCCTGCACTTTCGTGACCACAATATACCCAGAATCCCTCCACGTTCTGTGACTGTGGGTTATACCATTACATAGATCCAACAATATATATATATATATATATATTTATTTAAGGCTGATCTACAGGCCAAATACTACAAGGTAGCTGAGGAACATTTAAATATGCACAAACTGAAGTGTACGTAATCGAAAATACATATTCCAAATATATTCATACATACATGTGTCTGTCAAATACTGATGAGTTTGTATCCCTGGACTGCTGAGTATGATGCATTTACAAATAAAATGATCAAAAGGTGGGGCTGTTGTATGTTACCATGGTTACCATGGAGGCGGTAGATTGCTCTTTTAATTTAAAGTTACATTTTACCCACTCAGTATGTGTTTAGGGGCGTCCATCAAAAGAAAAATAAACATCAGCAATTTTAAGTTATTTTTTAAAGTTCTACCTAACTATTATTAAATATTATTTTACTACTTACTACAAGCATATTCATCTTCAGCTGTCCATAGCTTGTTTAGGGGGACGTCTGAAGTATTTTTACAAAGAAAAAAACTCAAACAGTCATGGTTTTAATCTAATAAGACCACAACCTCAACTAGACCAGCAGCGTTAGTTGCTCCCTGAATGGAAGGGGTGTTGGGTGTCTGATACTGCTCTTGGAGAGCCACCTTCAAGCTAAATTTATCTTCAACACACCTGCCTGAAAGTTAAAAGACACTAGTTAAAGACCTTGATTAGAGCTGGAGCTGAAGGTGGCCTTCCAGGAACAGGACAAGACATCCCTTGTTTAGGGTTTAAGGGTTAGGATAGGGTTAAGGTTAGGATATAACATTCAGAGTTTAGGGAGTAAGGTGCAGGGATCTCAACCTACTGGGTAACAACACCTCACTAGGTAATCTGTGTTTGTGACACTTGATGCAGCGTTCAGGGTCGTAGAGTTGGGGTTAGGGTAGTGTGCTCAATCCCACTCCTAGTGAGCCACCCTTCTCTTTAAGTGAACCGCAAGTCCTTGATTAGCTGGTTTAAGTGTGTTTGGAGGTTACAGGAAGCTAGATCTGCAGAAGCAGGAACAAACTCCCCTGGTAAGGGTGTAAGGTTTAGGTCATTTGCGTTTGAGACCCCTGATATAGGGTTCAGGGTCATAGGGTTTGGGTTAGGGTACTTAATCCCGCTCTTGGTGATCTACCCTCCTCTTTAAGTGAAGCTCAAGACCTTAATTAGCTGGTTCAAGGGTGTTTGGAGGGTTGGAACTGAAGACTACATTAAGCTGTAACTCCAGGAGCGGGAACACAACCCCCTGATTAGGGTGTGAGGTTTAGAATAGGGTTAAAGGATTAGTTCACTCCAGAATTAACATTTCTGGATAATTTACTCACCACTATGTCGTCCAAGATGTTCATGTCTTTCTTTCTTCAGTCGAAAAGAAATTAAGGTTTTTGAGGAAAACGTTCCAGGATTTTTCTCCATATAATGGACTTCAATGGGGATCAATGGGTTGAATGTCCAAATTGCAGCTTCAGTGCAGCTTCAAAGGGCTCTACACAATCCTAGCCTAGGAATAAGGGTCTTCTCTAGCGAAACCATCAGTCATTTTCAAAAAAAAAACTAAACATTTATATATGTTCTATATAAATGTATATAGGGCTCTACACGATCCCAGCCAAAGAATACGAGTCTTATCTAGAGAAACCATTGCTCATTTTCTAAAAAAACACACAAAAAACCACGAATGCTCGTCTCGCACTAGATCTGCATCCACGACTTCATGCATTACATAGTCACGTTGGAAAGGTCACACGTGACGCAGGCGAACCGGAGTACACATCACGAAGAACTTGCCACATGTGACCTTTCCAACGTGATTACATAACGCGTGAAGTTGTAGATACGCATTGCAGAGCTAGTGCAAGATGAGCATTTGTTGTTAAAAATTATATAAACGTTTATTTTTTTTTAGGAAATGACTGATGTTTCGCTAGCTAAGACCTATTCTTATTCCTTGGCTAGGATCTTGTAGAGCTATTTGAAGCTGCACTAAAGCTGCAATTTGGACCTTCAACCCGCTGATCCCCATTGAAGTCCATTATATGGAGAAAAATCCTGGAAAGTTTTCCTCCAAATCCTTAAATTTATTTTCGACGGAAGAAAGAAAGACATAAACATCTTGGATGACATGGGGGTGAGCAAATTATCAAGAAATTTTAATTCAGGAGTGATCTAATTCTTTAAGATATAACATTCAGTGTTTAGGGAGTATGTTGCAAGGATCTCAAACTACCAGCAAACACCACCTCACTAGGTAATTTGCATTTGAGACCCCTGATATAAGGTTTAGGGTCATTGGGTTGGGGTGCTTAATCCCGCTCCTGGTGATCTACCTTCCTCTTTAAACAAATCCCAAGACCTTGTTTAGCTTGTTCAAGTGTGTTTAAAGGGTGAAGACTACAGGAAGCCGGATTTCCAGGATCAGGATCGAACACGGTGGGTGTAAGGTTTAGGATAGGGTTAAGATATAACATTCAGAGTTTAGGGAGTACGGTGCAGGGATTTTAAACTACCAACTAACACCACCTCACTAGGTAATTTGCGTTCAAGTACCCTGATGCAGGGTTCAGGGTCGGGTGCTCAATTCCGCTCTTGGTGATCTACCTCCTCTTTAAGTGAATCCCAAAACCTTGATTATCTGGATTAAGTGTGTTTAATTAGAGCTAGAGATGAAGGTGGCTTTCCAGAAGCAGAATGGGACACCCCTTGTTTAGGGTCAGGATAGGGTTAGGGTTTGGATATAGCATTCAGAGTTTAGGGAGTCTAACACCATCTCCTCAATAGGTAATTTGCATTCAAGATCCCTGATGTAGTGTTCAGGGTCGTAGGGCTGGGGTTAGGGTAGGGTACTCAATCCTGCTTCTGTGATCTACCTCTTTAAGGGAACCCCAAGACCTTGATTATCTGGTGTTAGCAGGGTTGGAACTAAAGTGGAAGCTGGATCTCCAGGAGCAGGACTGAGTACCCATGGTATAAGGATGTATCTATAGTACCTAGTTCTCCCACCATAAGGCTTTACACCTGTACCTGAACTGGCCGTGCCTAACAGCAGGCCCCATAAGTGCATTGGTTTTCATCGAAATGTTTTGTACCTCCGCAGAAAGAAAAAAAGCTCTTGTCATCGTAAGCACCACCTTAACACAATGAAGGCACCTGGTGCACCCCCTCAGGATTCAATGAGTTCTTCTCATAAGAAGAAAAACAATGATGAGCTCAACAACATGGAGACCAGGAGACAAATGAAAACAAATCAGAAGTGTGGAATGTCTTCTTGTACATGCATCCCAAGTGTGCATGGGAGCAAGAAAGTTCCGTAGCGCTGATGTCTCTAGGCAATCACCACCATATCTCAACTGTTCTGGTAAAGAGTCAGTACCCTACGTTGAGCTTGTTCTTGTTGAGCTCCCTTTCCAGGTTGCCGATTAGAGTGTCAATGCTCTCCTGCAGGTCCCGCAGGTTGACCCTGTTGCTTAGGACTGGGCTAATCTCCTGAATCTTCATGTAGGCCTGGTAGGTGTGCTCTTTGGGTTGGTGCTCCTTGTGATCAGGGAGGATCTGATCGCAGGGGCTGGTGGAAACAGGTTCCTCCACTTGTAGCTTGTCCAAAACTATTGTATTCTCTTCCTCACTCTCTTCCTCTTCCTCCTCTATCTGCATTTCCTCAACCCTCTCCACTGCCTCGTCCACCTCGGGCAACTCTTTTTCAGGGATTACATCTCCAGTACCCTTTGTTAAGTCCTCCTGTCCTGCGTTTGGAGACTCTTCGCTGGGAACGTCATCATAGTCTGCCTCCTCTGGGCAGCTCGGTTGGAGGTACGTTTCCTGGCATCCACTCCAGTCCCCAGCATAACGGTTACTGGGACTGTCCAGGCGGCCAGCTCTGGGCCGCAAAACGCCTGCCATGTCCGCCTCGGTTAGATTCAGCACCTGTGGACGCTCTTTCCTCCTCCTTACGGCAGCTGTTGCTGCTGGGAGCGACTCCACCGGGCAAGGAACCGGAGAAGAAGATTTACCCTGAGCGTCCACAACTGTAAGAGAAAGACAACAAACAATGCATTTAATCATTTGATTATAAATCAATAACACATTTCATATAATGAGAATATATGGAATAACCAGTGCTGGGGAAAGTACTTTGAAAGTGGCCAAGCTTAAAGTAAGTCAAATTTAAAAATGGTAAGCTACTAACAAAAAGCATCTTACTGCAGTGAAGCTAGTACAGGAGGTATCTTTGTACACATATAAGATTTTATAATGTATTTAGTTACTCCCCAAAACTGGCAATAATGTACGCAGTTTTATTATGAAACACTTTAAGCATGCAGAACAAACAAGATATAAATCTGACACCAACCCAGTTGGTGTTGGCTAAACCTCAAATACTTTTTGTTCAACACAGCCAAACTCTATAAAACCCTATACTAAACTTGCCACAACTGGTAGATCTGGTGAAGGCCAGGAAAGCGGCAGAACGGTGGCCAGCTATGATTATTTTTAGCTTGTATTTGAACAAATCTGCGTGCTAGCAAGATATTGAGATAGTGTCATGAAGGGATAGCTGAGGACACACAAAGCACACCCGTTTAATCCTGTTTACCTGTCCCGATCTGCCCTCTAAACCCTCTGAGGACTTTAGCTGTGGCCTACATGTGACGGGACAAGTAAAATAAACAAACACAAATCAATGGACAACATACAAAGAGATCTATACAATAAGCTTTGCAGCTCTTAGCCTTAACAAATTATGTTATTTACAATAAAAGTACTTAAAGAATGTTAAAGCAGGCTGAAGGCTAGAATTTCAGTGTACCTGTTCAGCAGGCTGGTTTTAACTTGGTTAACTTAGCTTAGTTAATCACCTGACATCATTTGCATTGTTAATCAAGTTCTAAGTTCTGTTTAAATAATTTGATAAATAAAAATACATTTTAAGAAATAGAAATTAAATGTAAATAAATAAAAATTACATTTAAGACTTGATGTTCAGTTTAGACTTATGTTTTTATAAGTTTAGACTTGATGTTCAGATATTTTTAATATCTAATTTATAGTAGTAGAAATAATTGTATTATTATTATTATTATTGTCAGCATAATTATTTTATTTTATGAACTTTATGAACAAATGAATAAATATAATGATAATACTTACGATTATTTTTTATTAAATTATCAAAATAATTTATATATAATAATATAAAATAATAACAATATTTTCTACACTAATAATAATTAGTATATAAAATTACAGTATATATATTAAGCATATAAACTTGCTTTAAAACATACTCTCTGAAAACTAGTCCAAACAAGTTTAGACTTGACTTTTTTTTTTTCCAGAAATTTTCACATTATCATTGTACATTTTCCTGTAGGCAACTTTTGTCTGCTTTTCTGTTGGTAAAACCTCAAAGTTAATGCAACTCTGACAACAAATACCCTGCAGAAATTTTTTATGTGCACATAATGCAAGAAAACAAACACACTGACACTGAAGGATATGCATCAATATATCATGTGCCCAAGTGGAGACGCACACAGTTTGACACACAATCAGACAAAAAGACGGTCGTCCCAGCGCAGGCCTCACGGGAGATTCTCCACGCCTGACGGAGGCTCTATTGCAGCGAGAGGCCCCTCTAAACGGGCCGATTGTTCTGAGGGTGAGGCGGGCGGGTCGGCTGGAGTTGAAGGTTAAGACAGGAATGCGCGTAATTATAGACTGAGACTATAGACTGGTTTACTGTACCGTTCCTGCGTGCTGGAGGAAGTCACGCAACACAGCGGGGCAGAAATCTGTCTGAAATCACAGCCTGTGGCGGGACGCAACAGTTTTATGAGACGACCCCGAGACCCACAACAGACACACGTGTGTTGTTTTTAAGCCGTATGACGTTCTTGCTTTTGTGTGGGAAAAATGTACCATACAGGGTCCAAAAGTTGCACAAAAATACACAGTTTGACACACAATCAGACAAAAAGACGGTCGTCCCAGCGCAGGCCTCACGGGAGATTCTCCACGCCTGACGGAGGCTCTATTGCAGCGAGAGGCCCCTCTAAACGGGCCGATTGTTCTGAGGGTGAGGCGGGCGGGTCGGCCGGAGTTGAAGGTTAAGACAGGAATGCGCGTAATTATAGACTGAGACTATAGACTGGTTTACTGTACCGTTCCTGCGTGCTGGAGGAAGTCACGCAACACAGCGGGGCAGAAATCTGTCTGAAATCACAGCCTGTGGCGGGACGCAACAGTTTTATGAGACGACCCCGAGACACACAACAGACACACGTGTGTTGTTTTTAAGCCGTATGACGTTCTTGCTTTTGTGTGGGAAAAATGTACCATACAGGGTCCAAAAGTTGCACAAAAACTACTTGCAAATGCCCGGTGTATTATTTCATTTAAAAACGGGTAGATAGTAGTACCACCACCTAAGACTGAATGATGATCAAACAAATGTAATAGCAATTTTTCTGTCGTTTTCTGTTGTTTTTAATAATAATAATAATAAATTATTGTTATTATTGATGTCAGCATATTTTTAAACTTATTAAAATGAAAATTTAAAATCAATTGATATATAATAATAAGAATTAAACAAATTAATAAATATATTATTACAGCAATAATTCTGTTTACTGTAAAACACTATATCGTATTTACTAAAACAACAATACTAATGTATTATTGACTTATTAAAATTAAACAAATCAATATAATAATAATAATATTGTTATTTTATTGCATTATCCGAAATTAAACAAATGAATAAAAAATATATTACAGCAATAATACTATTGTACTGTACAATAAAAAATATATATAGTATCTACTATAACCACAACAACAACAATAAGTTATTATTATAATAAATTATTTATATATATAACAAATAATTGTCCAAATTAAACTAAATTCAATAAGATTATTGTACTGTAAAATAAAAAAAAGATTATATCATTTAAACAACAACATATTATTATTATCATTGTTATTGTTGTTAAAGAACAACAGTAAAATTACAACACTAATATTCAACACTGTCTTAATTTCTTTGCTTTGTTAAACCATAGCTTTTATTTTGGCAAAAAAAAAAACTTTAAATCTTCTCTTTATTTCCATAATCAATTAATAAATGATTCCCATTACAAATTTGCGAAGAAGCACCATGAAACAATCCCAACATCTTTCTGCCTCACACCTCCGTTTGTGTTTCACTCGAGAAAGAAAGACTGGTTTGAAACGAAGTGGACCGGGACGGTGTGTGTCTCACCTGGCCAGAGCTGGAGCAGGTAATGAAGGACCTCGATGTGTTTCTTGAAGTGCAGAGCGCTGGCAAGCTCCTCGGAGTCGATGAAGACCCGGTTCCCGTGGCAGGACGCCTCCTGTCTCTGGCTGAGCAGAACCGGCCCGAAACACACCGCCAGGTTCTGACAGGTCATTTTATTCACCTCGTGATGGGACGCCACGCGCTTCAGGTGATCCAGAAGCTTCCGCAGGGTCACCTGAGCACAAACACACACGTGTGAGAGATCAGAAACAGGACAGCAGATGGTTTCTTTCCAGAACGCTCCGGTACCTTCTCAACCTCCGGCAGGAGCTCCAGTGAGCAGACGGCGTGATCCGAGTCGACCGGGTCGTTCTCGCAGCCGCTGCTTCCCATCTGCAGCGGCCTCTTGGCCATCGAGTCCAGAACGGACTCGTACAGCTGCTTGGTGATGAGAGGATGAGGAAGCTCGCGGAGATAGTCCTTCAGCACGCCTGCAGAGAGACAAACACACTGCTACTGTGACCCTGTACTTTGTTGTTTGTGTTTTTTTCTTCTTTTTCTAACTTGTAAAGTGGGTTTTGGAAAGAAGCTATAAAAATTATGATTGTTATTATTATTATAGCGCTAGTGGTCAGTGGAAATGCTCAGAGAAAAATTGTGTAATACACATAAAATAAATAAATGAAATTAAAATAAGTAAATTAATTTCAAATAAATAATACATTTAAATAAATACTAAAAACAACTTTGAAGTAAACAAAAATAGATTTAATTAAATAAACAAATACTAATTAGATTAAAATACATTAAAAGAAGTAAATAAATACATGTAAAATAAAAAATAAAACATTTAAAGATTAGGGCTGGGTAACAAATATCAATATCTTAATTTTAATCGATTCTTATTTTTACGGAACGATATCGATTCCTAAATCCCAAGAATCGATTAGTCTAGCCAGTTTTCAGTTAATGGACGAAACATTTAAGGGCATGTCCCATCCAATATATCGCAATAAGCATTGTGCTTTGATGCTTTCAATATGAAACAAAGTCTCAGATTTCAAATTCTGTCCATTGTATTGCAGTATATAAACAATAAATGCCGTTTTGGCGCTGTTTAATGTGGAGTGACTGATCGCTGTAACGCCTCAGTTCAATAAAAGTGGCACAAAATAAACATGACTAAACATCCAAAGATACGTTAAAAGAAAGAGTACAACTTTACAATCTTATGTAATCGCTCATCAGTGTTTCAGTCGCGCAAAGACGGCAATATAACGGCTTGTAAACAATGTCACGTAATGTCACATTTACCTCAGAAAAACATATTTGGTGACCATAAACTCATAGGGCATTTTGTTAAATATATGCACCATATAACATATTCGTTATAATTTTTACTGTTCTTCTGTTTAAGTTATGTTTGAATAAATCCATCAAGTTTTTATGAAGCCACCATTTAATGTTTATATTTAAAAAAAACGAATTGAAGTAGAAATATTATTATGTAATTGTAACTTTATTATTTAAAAAACTTCATTGTGTAATTTTAACAAATCAGTCCATTTTAACCTTTTAATATTATAGTAATGTAGTACCAAATGACTCTCATGTATATTTCACAGCATTAATTTGGCATGTACTGTACCTGATATATATCCAAAATAATCGATATTGAATCGAATCGAATCGGTAATCAAATCGAATCACAAGCTTGTGAACGAGAATCGAATCGAATCGTGAAATTTGTGTCAAAACCCAGCCCTAGTATAAAATATAAAAATGAATAAAGAGTAGAAATAAGTATAATAATATATATAATATAATAATAATAAAAATAGTATAAACAATTAAAAAGCATATAAAATGACTGTAAAATACTAAATAATAAATGTGAAAAACAAGAATAAGATTAAAATAAATAATGGCTTTCATGCCGTGTGTAATGTAGCTGTATGTGAATGTAAACGATCTGCAAAGTTGAGAAGCCGACAGTGCACGGTAAATAAAGTTCTCGTCTCCCAAATGAAAGAATCGACAGCCTAAACGAGTCGTCAGTAATTCAAATCATGTCAAGACGACGCCGTGAAAGTAAATTAGTTTTATTTTCACTTCCGAAAGATGAGGCTGCAAGGAATCAGTGATTAAAATTCATTTTTTCCAGAACAACCCCAATTTTTTTTTTGTTTGTTTTCCCGACATTTTACTGACGACTGCTTCTCTAATCTCGCGGAGTTCAACGCGGGATTCACAAAACGCTTGCTGCTGAGAGATGAATCAGTCTCCAGTTTATTTGGATCAGCTGGATCCACTGAATCACAACCTGTAAGTTTGATTAATAATAAATGTTTATATTTTGGCCATCTGACCAATCAGAGCAGAGTAAGCTCTCGGAAAGGAGGGGCTTAGAGAGACTGAATATTAGAACTGCTTCGAACGAATCGTTTATGAATCCTTGAGAAATGCGGTGAAATTAAATGTACCGTATTGTCCCGATGTTTTTTTCTTGGAAATACATCTGAAAAAATGAGGTCGTCTTATATTCAGGGTCTAGACTTTGACGTGTCAATAATACACCCACAACAACAGGATAGGAGCCTCCCAATATAATAGGAACCTTAAAAATGGCATAATAGGGGCACTTTAATAAATAAAAATGTAAAAATAAATAAATGAAAATAAGACTAAAAATATGAACAAATAAAAATTTGATTTCAATAAAAATCGTTCAAATTAAAAAAATTAATTAGTAAATAAACAAAAAATAATGAATAAAATAAAATATTATAATAAATTAATTAAAATATATAAAGTAAAAGTAAATAATTAATAAATGTAAAAAAATAATATAATTAAATAAATAAACAACATCTAACAATAAAGTACTATATTGCATTGAAAAAATAAATCTAATGTAATAAATGTAACAAACTAAATATTTAAAAAATAATATTCTGACATATTTATCACAGTATCAATTAGATCTTTATACAAGAAAATATACAGATGCCTTTTAAATTTCCTCGCATGAGGATCATCATATTCGGGGGTCTGTAGCATCTAAAAGATCAAACACCCCTGCTATAGAGTCATAAATTTGAGGTGAGGTGGTGTCAGTCTGCTATTGGTCAGGCAAGCAGATAGTCCCGCCCCCAAACTCACACCATTGGTCGAGCCAGAAGTCATTACATCAGGCCGCTCAACAGAACAGATCAATGTTTTGAAAGAGTCACAGTGTGTTTTATTCTTCAGGAAGTCAATTCAACTTGCTTCTCCATTAACAGAAATGTAATTTGTCACTTTAAATCCCAGCAGTCCTGTAGATATGAAAGCACAGTCTAAGCTCCGCTGATTCAGTGAGATTAAACAAACTGACAAATGAAAGGAAATATCATTTGGAGACTGGATTCGTTCCCGCTCTACAGGCCTGGGATCAGTGCCGGAGCCAGCTATTGTTGTGTTTTGGAATTTGGCCCGGAATGTTGAGTTCGGAACGACGAGAGAGCGAACGATCCAGACGTAGAATTCAGACCTAAGCAACTAGAGACTGCGCGGACGACATTAAAACAGAGCCTGAGCAAAATAAATTTATATTTCTAATCATCAAGGATGCATTAAACTGATCAAAAGTGCCAGTAAAGATATTTATAATGTTACAGAAGATTTCTATTTCAAATAAATGCTGTTCTGTTGAACTTTCTATTCATTTGTGAATCCTGAAAAATAAAATGTATCACAGTTTCCTCAAAAATATTGTGCAGCACGACTGTGTTCAACATTGATAATAATCAGAAATGTTTCTTGAGCAGCAGATCAGCATATTATACTGATTTCTGAAGATCATGTGACACTGAAGACTGGAGGAATGATGCTGAAAATACAGCTGCACATCACAGAAATACATTATATTTTAACAGATATTCACATTGAAAACAGATATTTTAAATTATAATAATATTTCAAAATTTTTTCACTGTATTTTTGATTGAACAAATGCAACTTTGGTGCTCCAAAGCCAAAAGCCAGTGCTGATGCTGCAGTATTTCTGTAAGTTACTGACAGAGAGCTTTTCACAGGCCAATTAACAGACTGTAAATAGAAGCGCTAATTCAGTCAGACGTGACCTTTGACATCAGTCAGACGTGACCTTTGACATAGAAAGTGTGCGTAACAGCAGAATGTCACAGGCACCTAAAGAAAACAGACAATATTATCTCTCTCTCTCTCACACACACACACACACACACACACACAGAAAGAGTCTGTCCATTTTTTCTGTATTCAAAGGTGTGTGTGATTCTGTTGTTCTGAATCAGCGCCTTTCTACACTGTTTGTACAAAGAAAGTGTGCGTAACAGCAGAATGTCACAGGCACCTAAAGAAAACAGACAATATTCTCTCTCTCTCTCTCACACACACACACACACACACACACACAGAAAGAGTCTGTCCATTTTTTCTGTATTCAAAGGTGTGTGTGATTCTGTTGTTCTGAATCAGCGCCTTTCTACACTGTTTGTACAACAAGGTCATGACCTGATGCCATTTTAAAACTTTTTCACTTAAGAGCAGGAGGAACAGTGTATCGATCTCTGTGTGTGTGTGTTCAGTGAGTCAACCACCATCTGTGTGAGTTCACACACAAAGACACACACTTACTTAATGACTTTGCTTGTCTTTTCAGGGTGAGACACACACTTACACACACACACACACACACACACACACACACACTCGATACATCAGAATCAGAACGAGTTTTATTCGCCAAGTGTGTGCACAATTTGTTGTGTTTTAGGAACTCTTGGTACAAACACACACACACATACATACTGTACATGACACTGAAAACAGAAATAATAAAACATTTAAATAAGTAAGCATTATGAGTTATACAGCTGTATATACTGTATATACAGCTGTATAAATATAAATAGTAATATGTATTTATATAATACTTGAGAACATCTGCACTTCATCAAACTCAACTGCACAATGTTTGACATCAGCAGCAAAATCTTTGATCACCAAGGTCGCATTTATTTTTTTAATAACTGCAAAATTAATGAAATATTGCTACTATTTAAAACAGCTTTAAATATGTGAATCTCTGTTAAACTGTAATGTATTTCTGTGATGCGCAGCTGTATTTTCAGCATCATTACTGCAGTCTTCAGCGTCACATGATCTTCAGAAATCAGTATAATATGCTGATCTGCTGCTCAAGAAACATTTCTGATTATTATCAATGTTGAACACAGTTGTGCTGCACACACATACATACTGTACATGACACTGAAAACAGAAATAATAAAACATTTAAATAAGTAAGCATTATGAGTTATACAGCTGTATATACTGTATATACAGCTGTATAAATATAAATAGTAATATGTATTTATATAATACTTGAGAATATCTGCACTTCATCAAACTCAACTGCACAATGTTTGACATCAGCAGCAAAATCTTTGATCACCAAGGTCGCATTTATTTTTTTAATAACTGTAAAATTAATGAAATATTGCTACTATTTAAAACAGCTTTAAATATGTGAATCTCTGTTAAACTGTAATGTATTTCTGTGATGCGCAGCTGTATTTTCAGCATCATTACTGCAGTCTTCAGCGTCACATGATCTTCAGAAATCAGTATAATATGCTGATCTGCTGCTCGAGAAACATTTCTGATTATTATCAATGTTGAACACAGTTGTGCTGATTAATATTTTTGTGGAAACTGTGATGCATTTTATTTTTCAGGATTCACAGATGAATAGAAAGTTCAGAAGAACAGCATTTATTTGAAATAGAAATCTTTACTGTCACTTTTGATCAATTTAATGTGTCCTTGATGAATAAAAATCACAAAAAAACAAAAACAAAACTTACTAAGCCCAGACTTTTGAATGGTCATGCATAATATATCGCACAGCTCTAGTCCTCATTACAACACTGACCTCAGTTTTCCCGCTAAATGTTACACTCTGTTCCTTCTGTGTGTGTGTTTGGTGTGTGTGTGTGTGTGTGCGCGCGCGTGTGTGTGTGTGTGTGTTTGATGTGACACTCATAGAGCTGAACACGAAGAAGCTGCTGGCCTTGTTACTGTGTGTATTTTGCAAGCTTTGTGTTGACCTCTGACCTCTAGTTAATCTCATTCACACAGGCCGTATGACACACACACACACACACACAGGTTCATTCACATTTCATCTTAATACTCCAAAACTAGACTTCAAGTAAAATGGTTTTAGTTCAGTGTGAAATCACAGCAAATGTGTGTGACTGTAGCATGTGTGCATGTAAGCGTTCACATTCAGTACCTGTAATGACGTTAATATCAGGGTAGTTGTTTTCCGAGAGCTCGACGGAGTGACTGTCCCTCTCGAACGCTTCCCGCAGCTCCTTCTTCACCGCAGCCGAACCGCACAGACGATACAGACCCACCACCTGTCAGTCAAACACACAACCGTCATACAACAGCACAAATCTGATACGTCAACAACACCTAGAACCATCATGCAATGCTGAAATTAAAATCACCACTGTCGTAATTAAGAGGAATCAGCTCTATTTTGTATACAGTTAGTATATATATATATATATATATATATACACACACACACTCTCTCACACACACACACACACACACACACACAAACTTAATTATTTAATTATTATTTTAATTTAATTATTAATTTGCAAGTATTATTGAGAAATGTCTGCACACATTTTTATCTGTATGTTGCATATTTTTATTAAAATATAATAATACAATAATAATACTCAAAAAATGTGTAAACTAATTTAAATATTAAAGTAATAATAATAATATAATAAATTAATAATTAAATTATTTAATAAATTAATTCTTAAAATATTATTATTATTATTATTATTATTAAAATCCTGCTAAATACAGATTGAAATGTTCGATAAGGTCTGACAAAGAGTGAAATGTAAAGCCTGGTTAAAGATAAATGAAAGACATCAAACGGTTTTCTCCCTCCAACTATGTATCAATTTTAGTACAGTAGCAGTACAAGTGCATGCGAGTAAAAGTCTTTAACTTAAGCCTTCTCTTTGTTGCACAAGATGTAAAATTATGACAGCCTGCACGTAGAAGCACATCTCCTTATTATCCAATTCTTAAAAAACATTTCCTGTTGGCTGGTCGTTAAGACTAAAGGTATGGAAAGATCCGGAGTCTCAGCCGGCTTGAATCCGGACCAGCTCACACCTGCAATCCTGCTCAACACAGAGTCTGACAAACAACTGCAGTACAAACCTGCACATTCACAACACATTCATTCATTCAAATGACTTCTAGCGCCTTCAGATTCAGCACTCATCGCAACTGCCTAATGCATACTACACTATATATACTGCATACTATTTTAAAAATGAAATAAGCATTATGCAATGACAATGCATAACGCATAAATAAACAAATGCACAAAAGCATAAGTGCATAAACACAAACAAATGCACAAATAAATGCATAAAAGCATAAATAAAATGCATAAATAAAAGAATGAATAAACACAAAAAGAAATGCAAAATGCATAAATAAATGCAAAAATAAATAAATGCATAAACAAATTAACAGGTAGATAAAAAAGAAATGCATAAATAAAAGCATGAATGAATACAAAAATCATAAATAAATGCATACGTGCATAAATAAATGCAAAATTAAACAAATGCTAAACTAAATGCATAGGCCTAACTGACTAAATAAATATAAATTAGGAATGTATTTAATATACAGTATATATTGCACACAATTTAGTACGTAGTAAGCTAGCATTTCATTCCAAACACAGCCTTGCACATTCTGCAATGATTTAGAAGCACAAGCTACAATAAACAGAAGAAATTCCCTACAATGTGAAACAGCACCTTGATTCAGACCAGTGATGTATGTGTATGTGTATGTGTATGTGTATGTGTGTGTGTGTGTG